TTGGTGACAAACCCCACAAGTCTCTGGCCAAGCTTGCCAAAACTCATGGCCCCATAATGAGTCTAAAACTGGGCAACTTAATCACAATTGTAGTTTCCTCAACAGACATGGCTAGGGAAGTTCTTCAGAAGAATGACCCTGTCTTCTCTGACCGAACCGTTCCTGATGCCGTCCGAGCTCACCAGCATCATGAATTTGGGCTGCCTTTTGTACCCGTTTCCCCTCTTTGGAGAAGCCTTCGCAAAGTATGCAATTTGCATATCTTTTCTAGTCAGAAACTTGATGCCAATCAGCACCTGCGGCGCAGGAAAGTTGAACAACTCCTCGCCACGGTTCGAGATAGTGGCCGTCTTGGCGAGGCAGTGGATATAGGTCAAGCAGCTTTCAGTGCTATAGTAAATTTGTTGTCTAATAGCATTTTCTCTGTGGATTTGGCTGACTCAAATGCACAAAGTTCGCTAGAGTTCAAGAAAACTGTTTGGAGTATCATGGAAGAGGCAGGAAAGCCTAACCTGGCTGATTACTTTCCTTTGCTCAGAAAGATTGATCCGCAAGGTATAAGGCGCAGGATGACTGTTCATTTTGGGAAGTTACTCGAGCTTTTTGATAGAATGTACGATCAGCGGTTGCAGCTGAGGAAAGGCAAGGGTTTTGCCACAACAAATGATGTCTTGGACACTCTAATCGACATCACTGAAGGCAAGACAGAGGAGTTGAATAGAACACAAACAATCCATTTGTTAAAGGTGATCTTTCCATTGTTTTTTTCATTTTTTTATCCTCTTTAGTCTCTAGATTCGAGTGAGAATTTGGGGAAGTGATGAGCTTCTGACTCAATCTTTTGTAATGAGACAGGTGTTATTTGTTGCTGGAACTGATACAATTTCAAGCACATTGGAGTGGGCAATGGCAGAATTACTCCACAGCCCGGAGGTTTTATTGAAAGCCAAGGAAGAGTTAGAGAAAGCTATTGGCAAAGCAAAGTGGGTTGAGGAATCACACGTTGATCGCTTGCCATACTTGCGAGCTATCATCAAAGAAACCTTCAGAATGCACCCAGCAGTTCCTCTGTTAATCCCACGTAAAGCTGGGCCTAATGCAGAAATCTGTGGCTTTACAGTGCCAGAGGGTGCACAAGTGCTGGTCAATGTATGGGCTATAGGGAGGGATCCGAGTGTTTGGGAGATGCCAAACTCTTTTATGCCAGAGAGGTTCTTAAATTCAGCAATAGATGTCAAAGGCAGAGACTTTGAGCTAATTCCATTTGGTGGAGGGCGGCGGATATGTCCTGGATTGCCTCTGGCAATAAGAATGCTGCATTTGATGTTGGGTTCTCTTATAAACTGCTTTGATTGGAAGCTTGAAGATGGAGTCACGCCAGAGAACATGAACATGGAAGAAAAGTTTGGCATCACATTACAGAAAGCCAAACCCCTGCGTGCTATCCCCATTCCTGTATAGTGATAAAGCCAAACTACTTTGTTTGTTCTGTAATAAACTAAATCCAAAATCTCCTTGTCTTCTTCTGTGTTTACCTTATCGTCCTGTGTTCATTTTCGTATGTATTTTTCTGCTATCAAGGTTGAATTTTGAACTTTCTTGGCTTGAAGGAACTGTTTGCTACAATGATTGGTAGTGGTTTTATTCAATTTAATAAATAAGGATATTTAAAATCATTAACCACTAATTTTAACATGTTATATTAAACGGCAATGCGTGACTATGGTTGTTGGTGCTTCTTCCCAGTTGCAAAAGTAAAGGAGCACTTTATGGTAACATGTCTACCCTGCCATCAACCCACTTTGATATCTTGCTTGAATGTCTCTATGTCTCTAGCATTTAATCTAGTTGAAAACAGATTAGTAGAGAGTTCAGTTTAGAAAAATGCTAATTTTCTGCTACATGGACGTTTATATCACTGGAAAAAGCACCGGAAGGTATGGATAGCAAATTGAAATTTAGCTATCAACAAAGTGGGCACTTTGGCTATGGAGGTTAATATAGAGGGGATGAGGTAAAGGTTGATACAGTGCTCGATGGACCATGAACGGATGGAGGTGAGACAAAGCAATTGTTTGCTAATCTAGTAAAGGCCGTGGATGGAAGTACTAAGAGGCAGAGCAGGGCGATTCAAGACAAAGTGCACGATTTTAGTTTTGGTAATGATTTTGATAGCTCTTCATTGGATGAAATGATTGTGTTTTACTGTTTTTGATGCAATTGAACTAGTGTTTGTTTTGTTTAGAAACTTTTTCGGAGTGCGGGTTTCACAGAGTGGCAGAGTGAATTCCTTCTGGGCATGCCCACCAGATGTTTGATGATTTGCCTAAGTGGGGTTAGGATAAATTGCTGATTTAAGTTTTTGGCTTTGGTGCATTTGAAATGTTTGTCCTAGCCTTGTTGATCAGTCTTTCAACAAATATAATGATGCGATCTTCCAATTCGATCAGTTTCCAGACCTCATTCCTTCCTTCACAAAACTTTCTTAATGATTCATGTTGCAGGATGATTCATGAGGTTTCATCCTTCCATTCAATAAGAAACTGGCTTTGTAATGAATTCAACAAGTTGTTACTTTTTATTTTTTATTTTTTAATGATCATTTAACAAGAGACAGTGTTTTTAATCTATAACTTTCAATATGCTGATGAATGAGCATGTACAGTTTCATTAGGCTGATATATAATATATTATTTATTCTTCACCGCATACTGCAATAAATTCATAGTTCATGTCGATCTCTATGTTTTTGGTGCTTTCACCAATAGGAAATGGTTGCTTCATTTTAGTTGTATTATAGACGTCCCATGTGCCTAGCGTGATCAGTCAATAGAGATTTCTTAATTCATGCTTTGTGTCTTTGTTTAGCAACTCTCACGAAAAAAATAAGAGAAAGACAAAAATCAAAAAATTTTGACATTAAAAATGTTGAAATGTCCTGTCATTAACATCTTAATTTTTCCTTTTTTCGAAAAATAATGTTATTTTCTCTTTTCCTTTTTGACGAGGGAGCATGAGGACATGCTCATGCCAGAGGAAACAGACTTTCATTTGCTCAGGTTAGTTTGTTATTATTGTTATTATTATTATTATTATTATTATTATTATTATAAGTAAGCATCTGCAAAGTCTGCTTAGTATGATTATGCAGGGAATGGAACAAAATGATAACAAAAATGGAGCTGCATGGTCATTTTCTTCTCCAGATATATAGTAAGAGGAGGAAGGAATTTAATTGTAAGTTTGGCCCTTCCTCACACTAATTAAAGAGTGATCCAAATTTTCATTTGCAGAAGACAGTCAGAGATGAACTTCTTTGTAAGTTGCTTGCTGTTCCTTCTCTTTATCTGGGTCTTGGCTCAAGTTAGTAGTTCAATTAAAGGTGGAAGCACAACAAAGTCCAGCCAGCTTCCGCCTGGTCCACGACGGATTCCGATCTTCGGAAACCTCTTGGATCTTGGTAACGAACCCCACAAGTCCTTGGCTGACCTCGCCAAAACCCATGGCCCAATAATGAGTCTGAAACTAGGGAACTTAATCACAGTTGTTGTTTCCTCAGCAGCCATGGCCAAAGAGGTTCTTCAAAAGAATGATCTCATCCTCTCAAATCGAATCACTATTGATGCCATCCGAGCCCTTCAGCACCATGAAGTCGGGCTGCCTTGGATACCCGTTTCCCCGCTGTGGAGAAACCTTCGTAAGGTATGCAACTTACATATCTTTGCCAGTCAGAAACTCGATGCCAATCAGTCCTTGCGTCGCAAGAAAATTGAACAACTCCTCTCCTCAGTTCAAGATAGCTACCGTCTTGGTGAGGCAGTAGATATTGGCCAAGAAGCTTTCAAAACTACTGTCAATTTGTTGTCCAACACAGTATTCTCTATAGATCTGGCTGACTCGCATTCACAAAGGGCACAACAGTTCAAGAAAACAGTGAGGAGTGTCCTGGAAGAGGCAGGCAAGCCTAACCTCGCTGACTATTTTCCCCTGCTCAGAAAGATTGACCCGCAAGGCGTAAGGCGCAGGATGGCTATTCATTTTGAGATGTTGCTCGAGCTTTTTGGGAAAATGTATGACAAGCGAGTGCAGTTGCGAAGAGGCCAAGGTTTTGCCACGACTAGTGATGTCTTAGACACTCTAATCGACATCATTGAAGACAAAACAGAGGAACTTAACAGAAGACAAACACTCCATTTGTTTTTGGTAATCTTTCCATTACTACTCTCTTTTTTTTTTTTTTTTGGTTGAAATTGAGTCTATAGATTCAAGATAGAAAGTAGAGGAATTGATGTAATCTTCTAATTCCTCCTCATATTATTTGACAGGTTTTATTTGTGGCCGGGACGGATACAACTGCAAGCACATTAGAGTGGGCAATGGCAGAATTGCTCCACAACCCAAATGTTTTACTGAAAGCCCGAGTCGAGTTAGAGGAAGCCATCGGCAAAGGGAGGCAGGTGGAAGAATCAGACATGGTTCGCTTGCCATACTTGGAAGCTATCATCAAAGAAACATTCCGGATGCACCCACCAGTTCCTCTGCTGCTCCCACGCAGAGCAGGAGCAGATGCAGAAATCTGTGGCTTTACGGTGCCAGAGGGTGCACAAGTGCTGGTCAACGCGTGGGCTATAGGCAGGGATCCAAGCATTTGGGAGAAGCCAAACTGTTTTATGCCAGAGAGGTTCTTAGGTTCAGAAATTGATGTCAAAGGCAGAGACTTTGAGCTCATTCCGTTTGGGGGAGGGCGACGGATCTGCCCTGGATTGCCTCTGGCATTAAGAATGTTGCATTTGATGTTGGGTTCTCTTATTAACTGCTTTGAGTGGAAGCTTGAAGATGGAGTCACACCGGAGAATATGAATATGGAAGAAAAGTTTGGTCTCACATTACAGAAAGCCATACCCTTGCGGGCTATCCCCATTCCTGCGTGATAACCATAAAAATTTCTCCATGAGAAAGCTATCAGGGATTGCTTTGTGTTCTGTTCTTTGTTTCACTCTTTTGGAAAATTCTAAATAAAAACTTTGACTTATTTTTGCAGTTGCTGCAATATTCATTTTTGCAAGTGTTTTTTTCCTGTTATTTCTCCAAAAAAAGAAAAAAAAAAGTTTTCTGTTTCCTTCATATGGACTACTTAGCAATGTCTGAGAGTGAACTGGTGAGGTTACTCAAGAAGAAAAAGAAAAAGAGGGATTTATTTCTTTAATGGCGTCGGTGAATGTATAATTGAATTGCTTTCCAGACATTAATAAAAATAAAAATACAATTATTTATTGAGCATGCAGAAAATCAAGGTGTTTTGATATTAAAATTATCATAATATTCAATTATAATTATCATTTATGTGAGGCATAATTATCATTTAAGTGAGAAATGATGGTTGTTATTGGATGTCTTGATAATTTTAATATTAAGATATCTTGATTTTTATTTTTTTGTTATTTATTTCATAATTTGCAGCTGTATACAATAATTTATTCTGTTTGGATTTTTCTCCTAATTTGTTTGATGTTCATTGTCTGTATTTTTTATGCTGTAAGGATCAAATTTTGATTTGTTTTTACCTTATTTTAAAATTTTGTCAATTTTTTATGCCTATTTCTCCCTTCGTGAATCTTTATATAACAAATTAAATTTAAAATCTTATTTAAGAAAAGTTAAACTTTTTTTTCCTTAAAACAACAATTCGTTGGTGGAAAGGGATGATTGATTATAACTCCTATGGTTATACCACTGTTTCTGCTCCATACAATGAGTTTTCAATTTTTCACCATTAGGCAGAAGGGGAAAGGGATGATTGAACATCGAAGCCAGAAAAAAATAAATCTATGATTGCATTGCTTGTCACACTTAATAATAAAAAACAATTGTTTATTTATTTAATCAGCTGCACACAACTTGCTACCCAGGATATTATTAACTAACCTATTGGGATTAACTCAAGTGTTAAGAATTGAAAATTATACTTAAAAATGTTTAAATCTCTCTTGTTGTTATTGGATGCAAGTAAATGATTTCAATGAGTTAAAGCCCTTCACTCTTAAAGGTAAAAATAGTTTGTATCTTTAACGTGCAAGATATATAAGTATAATTAATTAATTCATTATTATTATTTTTAGAGTAAGAATTTTTTTATACATAAATATTAAATACTATATTTACATAAAATTTAAACTATTTATCTTTTGATTTTTAATAATTAAAATTTATTTATATTTATTAAAGATAATTATTATTTTTATTTAAAAAATATTATAAATCTCAATAATTAAAAATAAAAAGATAAATAATCAAAATTTTATATAAATATAATGTATAAAATTTATATATAAATAGATAATTTCTCTTATTTTTATATTAAAAATGTAAAAATTAAAATAGATAGAAGACACTACATCGCCATGTCATTTAACCTTCTGTGCTAAGAATGGATAATAAAATAAATGTGACTATCAGTAACAAATACAAAGCTCCAAAATAATATTTTTATATCTTTATATAGCTTCTTTGATGCTCCTATACTCTATATTTAATTATCCTACTTGTCATGAACATTAACTTCATATATTAATGTCAAAAGACTTTCCTAACTTGCTTTAAATTTTCCGCTTAGTCTGTAGGTTAAAATATTAATTTAGTCCCATAACTTTTGGATTTATATCACAATTATCTCTTAATTTTGAAAAATATTAAAATTATCCCTAAACTTTAATTTTTAATACTTAAAAAGTCTTTTTATTGACAATAGTGTCACATAACTAATTATTTTGTCACAAAATTGGTTTTTTAAATACTAATTATGTAAAATTAAATAATTATATTTTACCATCATAATATATTTTTATTTACATATCAGATTTATATATAATTGAAGTTAAAAAACCAAATTAGTATTTGTAATCAAAGTTCAATGAATAAGCTGGTGCTTGTCTTTAAAATTTAAGGACTAAATTGGTATTATCTTCAAAGTTTAAGAATTATTTTGTACTAAAAATAAAAGTTTAAGGACAATTTTAGTACTTTTTGAAGTTTAAAGACAATTTTAATACAAATCTAATAATTGAGAGCCCAAATTAATATTTTAACCTAATCTATATGATAGGTATAGTTTGTATCATAATTCATCTAATTATCAACACAATTAATTATGCTGTGCTTTTATTATAAAATTGTGAAAGTTATTTTTTTTTATTAATTTAATAAAGTTTAACTGTAACTTATGATAAGATAATAAAAACAATTACGTACGTATAATCATGATTTAAATTAAAGTTAATTTTAAAAAAATTTTTAATATAAAAAGTAAAAATCATTACTATACAGTAGTAAATAGAATTAAAAAACTATTGAAAAAAAAATTGGCATTTGTCGTAGCTTGAGCATTGAGATCCGGGGGTTTCGCTTGAGTCATGTGATTGATACAAACAAAAACACGCATTGTTGACTTATTTGTGGCTAAATTAAACAGATTTTCCTCAAACTCTCCTCCCCAAGACTGTTGTTGAATCCAAATTTCAGCAATGGGGCCATTTAATTAGTGCTAACAGTCTGTCCTTAAACAGACAAACACTTTACTAGTAATTTCTGTAACCATCGAGATTGGAGAAGTGATTAGATTACTCTTTAATTAATTTCTTTTGTTAATTTGTCTAAACATCATGCGGGTTTTGCTCCTTTCAAGTTTCAACTTGCCATATTAATTTTGAAAACATCCAACACAATTACGATTAAGTGCACAAATAGCTTTGATTAGCTTAAATGTTGTCTCTTTTTTTTTTTTTTAATGTTTATCTAATTTGTACTCTTAAGGTATATGATAAGTGTATAATTAATATAATTTTTTAGTATTAATTGATATAAAAAATAATAAAATTTATTATTAATTTTATCACTAATATTATATTTATTATGTTTATTAGACGTTAATGAAATAAATGCTCAATTTTATTTTTAATGATAATTAATGATAAAAAGTGTTATTAATGAGAAAAAAAGTGTTCTTAATTTGTATTTTTAAAGCACAAGTTAAAAAAGTATTTTAAAAAAATTAAGGTGTTTTTAATTTCATTTTAAAGATACAAGTTAAAAGTAAAATAAATAAATAATTTTGTTATAAATTTATATGAAAAAATAAAAATTAACTTTTAATTTAATCTAGTATTAAGTATTCAATTAAATTAATTTATTTGCCACCTACACCAAAATAAATATTAATTTTTATATTTTTCTATATTTATATATGATAAAAAGTCTCAAAATTAAAAAATAGTAAAAAGAACAGCCGTTGGACCAATTAGGAACCAAAGAGTTTGTGCGGTCGATCGGTAGTTCATCTGGATTACTGGATATCATGATCTTAATTATATCTGAGCCCCCTGCATCTGGATATCGGTTAATTAGGGTGTCCAAGTTAGTTAAGGGGAGGGTTGAGTTCACTGTGTCTGTACCACACATAATAAATTTGATACCATTTATCTTCACAGTTGTTTGTAATACTGAAACGTACGTACACATCTCGAGATTAATTCTCATTTTGGAAGAGGCAGAGAGATCAACCAGACCAGAGATGGAGTTCTTGGTGAGTTGCTTCCTATGTCTTCTCCTCTTTATGTGTGTCTATGTCTTGGTTCAAGTTTGTAGTTCAATTACAAGTACTAGAAGCAGAGCAAGTTCCAGTAAGCTTCCGCCTGGTCCACGGAGGATTCCAATCTTGGGAAACCTCTTGGATCTTGGTGACAAACCCCACAAGTCTCTGGCTGAGCTTGCCAAAACTCATGGTCCCATAATGAGTCTCAAACTGGGCAACTTATTCTCAGTTGTTATTTCTTCAGCAGCCATGGCCAGAGAAATCCTACAGACTAATGACCTTATCTTCTCTAATAGAACCATTGTCGATGCAATCCGAGCCCGCCAACACCACGAACTGGGGATGCCTTGGATACCCGTTTCTCCACTTTGGAGAAATCTTCGGAAAGTATGCAATATACATATGTTGGGTAGTCAGCCACTTGATGCCACTCAGTACCTGCGGCGCAAG